AAAAAGAGGGTTTTACGGTCTAAAAACCATTCAAAATAGCTTTGGTCCAAAATGAGGTGTAAGGTTGGAATTTGACTCTCCTCTCGCCGAAGAAACCGAACCTTTGCACTGCATAGCTTTCAACACCAAGTAAACCATCAGTAATGCCTAAGTCTTAAGGGCTGTAAAAAATGGGATGTCTACACTTATCAACCATTCTTTAATCCAATTAAGTCCAAAAGGTGAGTTAAAGTCCTCTAATGGAAAAAAAGCTCAAGACACAAGTTGCTTTAGGTATGAAAGAAGTCTCATACCGTTGGTAATGAATCCCCTAAGAGATTAAGCCATTAAGTATGAAACCTCAATTTCGCACTTAGATAAACAAGTGACTTGAAACCACTTTCAAAGCAAAATGAAAAGCCAAGAAAGGAGGGAGATTACAGAGATGATTAGTGCTAAAATGAAGTGCAAAACACCAAAACATGTAATCAACTCAAACAAGGGGTGTCTAATGGCCTAAAACAACGAGCTTGTGAGGACATTTACACTACAACCATGCAAAACAAGACTTAACTGACCCAAACAGCCCAAAACAGAGCTAAAGCAGTCTAAAACAAAGGTAAAAACATGCTAGAATATAGCTACAAAAAGCTAGAAAATCATGCTAACATATTGAATTAACTAGGCTAGCAAACAAGACACAAGGAAGGGGGGGCTAACCCCTTCAATTTTGGACTTCAAAACATCCTTTTTGCCACTGAAATATTTTGAAATTCAGTGGTTAAAAGCCCAAAAAAGGTGGTTTGAAAATGGAAAACAAACGTGCAAAAGCCTTTCAAATAAGAAAGAAAGAATGGTGAAGCACCCACTAACTTAAAATGGTCTCAAACCATCACTTTTAGTCCACCAAAATAGTTTTTTTTTTTTACAGTTCAAGCAGCCCAAAAATAGTGGGAAAAGATAGCAAAATGAGTGTGCAAAACAAAGTATACAAATCAAGTGCTATACCTCTTGAAGGGAAGAGTAATTCTAGGCAATAAACCAAGCTAAAACCACCTTCTAGAGCTCAAACCAAGCCCAAGAACACCTCAACTCAGAGATTAGGGGATTTGGTTAAGGGTGTATAGGCAAGAGTGTAGGAATTGTAGGTGTAGGAAATTTGTACAGAGAGAGAGAGAATTATAGAGAGAGGAAAATTTTGAGTCTAAAATTTTCTAACCCCAAATATGAGAGACAGGGTCCCTATATATAGAAAAAATGAAATCTATACAAGGAGATCCAGCCCTCCATGTATAGACAGATGCAAGCATCTATGCAAACAGCTAGCACAACTGGCATAAAATATCTGCAGAAAACACTGGTGGCCGGCCGGCCATCACTGATAGCCGGCAAGGCATCATTGATGGCTGGTAGACAAGAAATGATGGCTGGCAGCCTCCAAGGATGGCCAGCAGGCCACTAGAGATTGCAGGTTGGAAAGATAAAGGCCTAGTCCAAAAAAGAGACAAAATGGATGAAGGGTTTGAAAGGCTCAAAGTTGTGACATTCCACTGAGGACTCCGAGCGTTCGGCGAGCAAACAGACTCGTCATCGGATGTACCTACAAGACCATTCAAGTCTTGAAGGGCCGTAAAAAATGGGGTGTCTACAATGTGTATTTTTGGGATGCAGATTTTGAAAGTTAAGGATGCTAGCCGAGAATATTTATACAATTGAGGTTGAGAACTTGGGAACTGAATTTGTTTTGATAATCTGTCTCTCTAGAAGATGGATATCTGTGTCAACCCCAACCTAAGATTAACTGTTAAATTATGACTAAGGATGCCTAATACGTAATTAAGATGAAATCCTATGTTAATTACATGTGCATAACATTATTTGTATTTATATCTGTTTATTGTAGAAATATCTGTTTCTGTTTTGTTTTGCAAATTGATGGCCTTATCAGCATCCGATCACGAAATTGACTTGAGTTATGTGTTATTTGGAATTTTTAGAATTTTATGGTAGGTCTAAGTAAAATCCGATTCGAAACGATTAAATTACAATAATTAATGTCCATTTGATTAGCTTTAATTAATCACCACTAATCAAGCTTATATAAGGCTTCTATATGTGCCACCACTTATCTTTTTCCTTAATCACACCTTGGAGCCTACATACACACAACAAACGTGAGAAAGGGGGGGGGGGAAATGAGAAGATTTGAGCTCAAACAAAGGAGATTTGCTAGGAAAAAGAAGAATTGGACTTAGAGACTCAAGAATTAAGCCTCTAGCTCTCACTTTGAAAAGTTTTGGTAAGAATTCAACCCTTTGAATGTACAATTTTGATGCCCAAGACATGAATTCATGATAATGAAGTTGTGTAAGACAAGGATTGAGCTAAAAAGGAAGGAGTTTAGATCACACCATGCATGCATGTGCATTTCATGGAGTTTTGATGTTGTTTTCAAGAGAATTCCTTCATGCATGTAATAATTCTAGCTTGGTTTTAAGAATTCACCACATTTCCTATCAAATGACCTTAATTGATCATGTTTTGGAAAGTTTGAATTCATATCAATGCATACATGTTATGTTCTTTAAGCTTGAGTTTGCACAATTAACTTACTCTTGGGCCTTGATTTTGCAAAATAGTTTTGAATTCAAGATGTTTTCCAAGTTTACATAAGTTTCCTTGAGTTTTTAGCCCAAGAGAACATGATTTGCAGCATTGAGTTGGGTTTTGAAGCTTAGAAACAAATCTGGAAATTCCAGAATTCTGTTTCTACGCTCAAGTGATAGAACTTGCGCTTGAGCGACCACTCTGTGATCTTGCACTTCTGCTCAAGCGATCAAAAGTTGGCTCGAGCGTGAAATGCATGCTCCCAAAAGTTCATACATTTTGCAGACCGCTCGAGTGACAAGAGTTGTGCTTGAGCGAAGACCTTAGTCTCACGTTCGAGCGACCATCGAGTATGCGTTGAGCGAAAAAATCAAGCAACCAGTACTTTTTCAGAGTTTACAGACCGCTCGAGTGAAGGAAGTTGCGCTCAAGCGACCCCTCACATTTTTGACCCACCGCTCGAGCGAAGGAAGTTGCGCTCAAGTGAGGCCCCTATTTTTAGCATAATTAACTAAGTGTTTCAAAGTGCATTTTAGCATCCTCATCGCATCCTAGGCATTCCTAGGCCATGATTAAGACACAATAATGAGGATAAGACTTAGAAGCACACTAAGAATGAAACACAATGACTGTAATGAATTTCGAGCGTGTGTTTCAATGTGTATATGTTATGTGTTGTTTATAGGTCACGCACCATAAGCTATCTAATCTGTATGCTTCATCTGTTCTACAATTGGAGCCATCTATGAGTAATAACTTTGTAAAGCTATATTCAACTATAAGTATTTTCTGAATGATATAAGATGATCTGTTTTCTGAAACATTATTTTTTGCATGAATGAATGGTTGTTCAATATTTTTGAAATGTATTTGTGGCATTCTTAGCTTCAGATGACATCTGTTGTCTGTTTTGTTACGTCCCAATTATGGGTCAACTGTACGTCTCATGAGCCAACTGTTATGGATCCTTTTGTATACGTCCCTTTATGGGTCAACTGTATGTCTCATAAGCCAACTGTACCGTCTCCATACACGTGAGTCAACTATATGCCTTCATGGCCGTCCCTTTATGGGTGAACTATTTCTACTAGTGCTAATAGATGTACCACGTATGATTAACTACAAATCCTGATTATGAGTACGATACTGAATCTGTTTCTGTTATAAACTAAGATTTTTGAATTCGAATTATGAATTCCCTTTTTTGTAACTGTTATGGACAACATTCATTAAACCTTTTACTCTGTTATTATTCACTGGGCTTCCGCTCATCATTTATATTATGTATGTAGGTGAGTAGGTGCGTGACCAAGCCTAAGCTGCTGCCTAGGGAGTTTTGTTTTGTCAGCCAGCCATCGTGCCTCCTGAGGAGGTTCCCGTTTGTCAAGCCAAGTTTTGTACATCATGTGAATGATGTTTTTGTCTATCTGTACTTTGGGCTAAGTCTCGTACGACACTATCTGTGTCTATATAGTGATACATGACGTATGGAAGTTTGACATTATATATAAGGTTTAAATCTTTTCTGTTCCATGTATGTCTGCACAGCTCTATGGACTATGTATGTTTCTCTATTTGCTTCCGCTAGCCCGTATATTTCATGATATATTCAGGTCAGAGGCCTTTGGTAATCCGAGGATTACTGGCCGGTTACGACGCTAAACCTATAGGGGCGGGTTTGGGTTGTGACAAGTAGTATCAGAGCACGTGTCATACCACACACACGAATCCATATGAGCTTTAGGATGTCTTAGAAAAGAAGTAGGGGCAATCCATCTGCATGTGTGAGTGTGTTACAGAGAACTGAATCTGAATGTGAACATGAGAAATTTAAGAGAAACAAACAAGATTATTCCTATGTTTATTATTACCTTGTTTCTCTATAGCAACGTAGAAAATGCAAGTAGTAATGATACAAGTGAATCGTCTGAAGCCTGAATGAGTCGGATAGAACAAATGCTGGCAGCTTTAACTGAATCCTTGAGACAATAATCCTTGCCTCCTTCGCCTCCGTAGGTATAAAATGAGCCAGATAACAATGATATTATAAATCTAACTCAAAAGTTTATGAAGATGAAGCCGCCAACTTTCTTGGGTGATATAGACCGTTAAAGGTAGAGACATGGTTACTCGAAATGGAGAAATTATTTGAAGTTTTCCCCTACACCGAGACTCAGAAGGTTTTGCTGGCCACCTATACTCTAAAAGATGAAACTCGAAATGGTGGTTGCTAATCCGAAATAGCAATGGGAACATGACGTGGGCGTAATTTAATGAGATCTTCTACGACAAGTACTTCCCTTAGTGCTTTCGGGACCGAAAGGTTTCTGAATTCCAAGAACTTAAGCAACGCAACATGTCTGTGGCCGAGTATGAGGCTAGATTCATTGAATTAGCCCCGATTTACTCCTTACATGGTGGATACAGACTATAAGAAAGCTCAGAAATTTGAAGGGGGATTGGACCTGGATGTATTTAATCGAGTAGGCGTCCTGAAGTTGCCTACATATGTAGAAGTACTTAACCGAGCATTGATAGAAGAGGCCACATTAGCAGCAAAGAAACAATCCAAAGCACCAATAACTAAATGGAGAGGGAAAAGATCTGGATTCAGTTTCAAGAAGGGTCGTTCATTTACTACGAGTAAGAAGCAAAATACGGGGTCTACTAGCAGTTCAAGTCAAAGCATCCAGTCTGCGCCTATCTGTGCTCAATGTAGAAGGAGACATAGAGGGGTTTGCCATCGGATATCTGGTGCTTGCTTCCAGTGTGGCAAGATGTGCCACATAATAAGAGTTTGTTCAATTGGGTTAGAAAATGTCAACTGTCCTGTAGCAAGTTCAGCCGGATTTGTTTTTGCATCGAGGCCTAATATAAGAACGAATGCCAGGGGTAATACCGGGAATGAAACATTGAGACAATGGAGAGTATTCATACTAGTGCCTGGGGATGTGCAGAACACCGAGTCCGTGGTGTCAGATATAATTCAATGTGTGCCCAAAATGCATATGTCTTGATAGATTCTGGTTCTACATACTCTTTTGTGTCACATGCCTTTTCCCAAAAATTAACCAAACCTTTAGAACCCATGAATTATTTACTGTCTATATCTATACCATCTGGAGGTTCTATGATACGTGCTTATGTTTTTCCGACATGTGATATTATGATTGGTGATGTGACATTGTATGTTGATTTATTGCCTTTAGAAATTGATCATTTTAACAGCATATTGGATATAGATTGGTTAATGAAATACTGTGCAACTATTGATTGTGTGAATAAAACTGTTGTATTTTGAGCACCTGGTATGCTTGAATTTGTATTTGTTAGGAATGGGGTAATTCCTCCACCGTATTTGATTTCTTTTGTGAAAGCCAAAAAGTTGTTGAGAAAAGGGTGCCAGGGTTACTTATGTTACGTTTTCACTCTGACTTCTGATGGTTCTACTGTTGAGAACATCTCTGTAGTAAATAAATTTCCTGATGTATTTCCAAATGAGTTACCCAAAGACTTAATTGATAGGGAAATCAAGTTTACTATTGATGTTGTACCCAAGACACAACCGATTTCTAAAACCCTATATAGAATGTCGACTTATGAACTGAAAGAATTGAAACTCAACTTTAGGAACTGTTAGACAAGAAATTTATCCGTCCGAGCACGTCACCTTAGGGTGCTACAGTTTTGTTTGTGAAGAAGAAAGATGGGTCTTTCAGGTTATGTATAGGCTATCATGAATTGAATAAAGTAACCGTGAAGAGCAAATACCCACTACCCTGAATAGATGATCTATTTGACCAACTTCAGGGAGCTTAAGTGTTTTCCAAAACAAACCTTAGATCTGGGTATCACTAGTTAAAGGTCAAGGCAGAGGACATAGAGAAAACTACATTCAGAACTAGATACAGACACTATGAATTTTTGGTAATGCCATTTGGGATAACTAATGCGTTTGCGGCAGTTATGAATCTAATGAACAGGGTATTCAAACAATTTCTCGATGAATTTATAGTTGTGTTTATTGATGACATCTTGATTTATTCTAAAAGCAGGGAAGAACATGAACATCATCTGAGAATTGCTGTACAGATTTTGAGAGAGAAGAAGCTATACGCCAAATTGTCCAAGTGTGAATTTTGGATTGACAGCGTATCATTTCTGGGACATGTGATTAACAAGGATGGCATTTCAGTGGATCCACAAAAAATTGAAGATATTGTAGACTAGTGTAGACACCCCATTTTTGACCGTCCTCAAGACTTGGACGTCACCGCTTGAACACTTGGTGATCATCCCTGTTTGTGTTCGTCTTGAGTTCCTGGAGGCCTTGGCTACGCGCCTTGCCTCAGGATCTCTCGACTCGACCGTTTTGTGTCTAGTTTTGCACCAAACACTTGTGTTTTTGCTTTGGAAGGCAGGAAATGGCTTTTGGGACATCCCTACACTCCACCGGCTGTGGCTTGAGGCCACCGGCTGTGTCTTGTTGCCATCGGCCAAATGTGATGGCCGGCCGGCCAATTTGACTACCGGTCGGCCACTTTGATGGCCAGCCGGCCAAATGTGATTTTCAACAGATATTTCTGCAGACAGCTGGCAGCTGTCATTCCAGGCCATACCCCAGCCCATGCCTAGACGTGGGAGCTCTGAGGAGCTGCAGACTGATATATCTCTATATCAATCAAGCTCTCTCAAAAAGAGAGATATACAAGAGGAAGAGGAGGAGATATACAAAAAAAAGGAGCAAAAATCTCTCTCTCGCTCTACATTTTTCTGCCTCTCTCTCTAAGGTTTAGGGCTTGTTTGTGCTCAAAAGTGCATTTTCTTTGCACTTTTGCATACAAACATCTAGTTCTCTACTCCCTTTATTGAGCTGAGGTCCTTGAAGGTGATTTTTGGGGTGATTGAAGCCTTTTCTTGGTCCAAAAGTTGCTGATTTGCTGCTGTGCTTCAAGGGTGAGCTTTTACCTTTTTTAAGCCTTGTTTCATAGCTTGTTTTTCCATATTTTCAACTATTTTTGAGCTTAACATATAACATAGAAAAGTCTTGTTTTTGAGTGCTCTAAATAGTTTGTTAAGGGTGTTTTAAGCTTTGGGGTTGTTTGACCCCTCTTAACGCTTGTTTGGCCATTGTTTTGTGCCATTTCGGTTGAGCTACGAGACCATTGTGTTTGCGCCTCCTCACCACTGAAATCTTGAGGGATTTCAGTGATGAGGATGGTGCCTTGAGGTCCTAGGAAGGAGAGGGCCACCCCTCTTCTTGTTGTCCTTGAAAAGGGCCATTTTTTAGCCTCTTGAGGGAGCATATAGTTTGAGTGTGTATTGACCATGCTTTGACTGATTTTCATGCTTATTATGTCATAATATAGCATTGTTGTATGTTGGTTTGGACACACCTTGCATTTCCTTGCATACATGTCTTGTAATGCCACATTTTGCCTTAACATGCTTTAAGTGTTGACCCTTGTTCTAGCATGATTTAGGCTTAGCTTTGTGAAGCTTACATGCTTATTTTGATGTGCTAAGGGACTGTTTTAGGTCATTTGAGTCATTCATGTCTTGCTTTGGTATAGCTACCATACAATCCCTCTTGAATGCCTTAAGTTTTGGCCTCTCTAGCATGCATTACTTGCATTGTTTAGTGGTTCGGAATCACTTACCATGTCATTTCAGTAAACTTAGCATGCTTATATGCTTGCATTTCATGGCCCTTTGATGCTCCAAGAGGTTGTGTCTTCCTATGCTCCATGTTTGGTCATTGTGTATGCTTCCATGTGTAAGTCATTTAGATGCCCATCTAAGTGGTCTTTTGACTTTGTTTTAGCGTGCTAAAACTCGGTTTTGGTCACTTAATTCATGCCATGTGTGGTTGCATTAAGTATAGTTCAATCCCCTTAGGCTTGCCTTGAATCTTGGACCATTGTCGCATGCCATGCTTACCTTGTTTACTTGGCTTGCACCATTCTTAACATGATTTTCAAAGCTTATGGTGCATGCCATTTTGTCTATGAATTGCATCCTTTTAAGTGTGCTTGACAGTTACCTTTTGATGTTTAAAGTCTTAAGCCATGTTTGCATGCATGCTTATATATATATAGATAGCTTGGCTCATGACACATTGTTGTACACTTTTTGTGTTGTTGCATTTGGCATGCTTTGCATCTAACATGTTGTCCATATTGCACCTTGCATGTGTGCATGTTGTTGTTACACTTTGGCATGCTTGGTTAGTTGCACCTTTACATTACTTGCTTGCATGCCCATATTGCACACTAGGCTCACATGCTTAGGATTGCATTGCATTGGCATGCATGCTTCACCTCTTGATCAAGCCCATGATAGAGTGAAAGCCCCTTGGTTTTTTATATTCATGCATTTCATTTGAAATCAAAATGCACACTTGATTCTTTTGGGCCATCATGCATGGAAATGCGCGATTGGTGTCGCGACAATTCGAAGCCATATCCCTTTGAGTCATGAATATGATAAAGGGGCGTGAATTGGTACATACATTGCTTGAAATACATTGCCATGCCAAGTTTTTGTCCTCTGCTGCTATCAAACCAGTTTTTGCAGAAAGATTTGGCCGGCCGGCAGTGTTGAGTGCCGACCGGCAAAAAGTGTTTGGCCGAGAGTATAATGTTTAGCCGATGACCATTCTAAATGGCCGGTGATGATCCCACTCAGCCGGTGATGTTTCCAAAACACTCAGCGAAAGCAACCTTGGGAGTTGTGCAATTTTCAGAGAAACAGAACAGTCAAAGCAGAGGCAACTTGTGCATGGCAGTGACTTTCGAGCGGAGCCAAGCGCGCATTGCATTGGGCCCTTTTCCTGAGGCCGTTTACTGATTTCATAGATTAGTTAATTTGTTAATTAATTTAATTGGTTTGTAATAATTAATTAGCTTGTAGGTTAATTAATTTGTATTATTTTTTTGGTCCCTCGAGTGAGGTGAATTTGTAATAAGTGTGGTGGTGTGTGTGTGCATGTCTTCCAACCCCCACTTCTTTCTCCCTTTTACTTACCTGCTTTTAATGTTTAGTATTAGGACATGTTTACTTTAGCATACCTTATGCTATGCATGCGTGCATCATTCATCAGTATTGCATGTACCAGGCTCGGCGCATCATACTAACTGCATAAGTATTTACAACTAACTGAATACATACTACTTGTGCATTTTCCATGTCATTTATAGACTAGCCGAGCCTACTCTAGTGCTTCCGTATGCGTTGCATTAGGCAATTTAACATGGACTTAGATCATGCATGATTGCTAACATGTTCTTGTTTGGCACGGGTACTAGGTAAGCATTTATGCTTAAGCATACCGCATGCGTGTGAGTGTTGCCATATAAGTATGATTACCATGAGGCTAGATGCTTATGTGATATAACTGCTTGAATGCCTGTGGATGGAGGTTGAAATTACCTAAAATTGGAATAATGTATTAAAACTGTGAGTTTTCAAGCCCACTAGATAGTGGCAAAACCATCTTTTCTAAAGCCCACTCGAGGGTGGCAAACCTGCATTTTAGCCTACTTGCGAGTAGCAAACCATCTTCAAAACGAACATGCAATGTTTTGTCCAATTTAGCGATTTAGTCTATACTTGTTTTGCTGGCGCGCATAACATAGTAATTCTAGGCTAATAAATGGAATAAGAACACATAACGTTTTCAAAACTGGATATCATGGTTAGTAGAGGCCGATCTTCGGATCGGGCGAGAGGGGGTGCTCATAGCTGACCTTCCCCAATCGTACCCAAGTTCCCGAGCCGAGGCACTTTGGTGATGACGGACACGTGGCCTTGGCACCGAGTCAGGGTTTCCTTAATTCCCCCTTAAAAATATTTAGGTGGCGACTTTGTATCTGGCAAAACAGTCCATGTTTGGCACTTCTTTTTCAAAAATCTGTTTCTCAAAAACGATTTGCCGGATTTGGACTCTTTGGTTCAAATTAAGGACTGTGAACACAACTTGAGTCCGAACTGTAGCATGAGGCCCGATGGCGCGTTACAAGTTCTGGTGCTCCGCTGGGGATTTAGAAGAGCATGACTCCAAACTCGTGAATCCTATTTTGATTTCATTTTATGTCATCCTCTTTTGCATTGGCATGTGCATTGGTGCGCCTAGGACACCGTGTTTGCCATCTGCCATTCCTGAACGGTTTGCCGGAGGCTTGACTTTGTCAAAGCATGCCATAAGGCTGACCGGTTGTGGGCTCTGACAGTATGGGAACACAAACCCCAGTTTTACCGGGGCACCCTTTTCGACCATTCGACCTAGTGCATATCGAAATCCATAGTGACCATTCCAAATTAGGACAGGTTGTTTACCCGATATTAGGTTGTTTGAAAACTGCTGCGTGCATAGTGAAACCCTAGCTCCTGACAAAATAGGACAGGGAAACCCTACCCCTCCATAGGGGTGTTTTGGCTCTCTTTACTTGCTATGTGTTTTTAGAGTGTATCTATGCAGGGGAACACACATATCAGTTCACAAGTTTGAGTATCAGACCTGAGGGCATCAGTGTCAGTTTATGAGAATCAGTTTTATCTGTGGGTATTCGATTCAGTATTTTGGGGGCAGTGATTTTGGGCAAAAGTGATCAGTAGTAGAGTACAGTTATTCAGCTATAC